TTTAGATTTATATCTTATTTATTTAGCTCAATATAAAATTTTAAAAAGTGTCCATAATAATATGGTAGGCCACTGTATATTATTAATATTACAATTTTATGTAATACCTTGTACTGTTTTTCATTTTTCTAGCAAAATCAAATACGCATTCATTTACTTATCGTAATAATTTAGAATACTTAACAATTACCTGCATAAAATTGGTTGTTATATATTATGAAACCTTATAGTCTCTATACAATTTACCTATCTACTGTAACACTTCATAAAGTCAGCTACCCACATTTCAAACTTTAAATTATGATTTATCTAGTTATAATATACCTAACCTTTAATAAATATAAACTCTACACAATCGGTAACAACTCTCGCTTTCCTCCATAACATATTTATTTATATTATAACTTTGCCTTCGCTTTGATATCTATAAACATTCTAAAATTATTTATTAAGGTTAAAAAAAAAAAAAAAAACGAAGCTTTTTGTTCAAGTTTATATAATGGTCTTCACAATGTTTGTAAACCAAAGGATATTGCATACTCTAACGAAATGCCAACAACTTCAAACCCAACGTTCTTGCATAGTTTGCAACGTTTACGGAATTTTTGAATACTACGTGTGCAAAGTGCTATAATTTTAAAATTAAAATTTTGCCCTTAGTTTGGATTTTAAAAAATTAATTAAGCAGCCAAATGTTGTAATAATTTTTATTAAGCGAAGCAATTTAAGTATCCATTTATAATATCTTTTTTTAGGCACATGTTAATAGATCTAACGAATCTTATTCATATATCTCACTTTCTTTTTTCACTCATTAGTAGCAATACTAATTAAATTTATAGTATATAAAAAATTACATTTTTCAAAAGGCTAATATTGTAAATAATTTGAAGTTTATTATGCAAGAATTTAACAACATAATGAAGTTAGATTCGCAAGTATATATTGATGAGCAACAAAGATTTGATAAGTAAATAATATCCTAATTCGATAAAATTATTTATGATTCATATTATAAATGTAAAATTTGTATATATATTAATTCAGATAATTTGCGATTTATAACTACTGTATTCGCGAGGTACTCTCTAATTTTCGACCTGAACTTGTGGAATATTTCCAATTTTGATACCTTGTAACCTATTATTTATTATGATTAAACTCTAAAAAATTAAAGCATTACATTATTTGATAAAAAAATATTTTACCAGAAATAGCCATATTCTTTTCCTACTAGATCCAAAGCTTTTCTTTGTTCTTCAAAGCTCTTACTGTCATCTAATGCTTCTTCGATAGCTTTAATATATTCATCAGTCGGTAATAAATCTTTCGGTAACAAACTAACAGAAACTGTCTTATTATATACAGTATTGTTATTCTCGCAAATGTTAATGGAATGTTCATTCTGAATATTGATGTCTTTCTCATGAAGATTTTTAATGATATATGCTTGTTTTTCAACTTTTTTCATCATTCCATCATCAAATATTCGCCCTTTATCTAAACCAAATAGTTGTACAATTCTTGGAAAACTTGGCTTTGAATTGTCAATTTCAATACAAAATGAAATGTCAGGACCATCAGAAATTAAAATTTTTTCAATTGTATAATTATTCTCATGATCTCGTGATATTTTTCCTTTTAATCGATCATAAAAATAGATATTTTGTCGACCCAATAAAAAATCCTTTTCGGTTGATAATCGTCGTCGGACTTCTTTCAAGTTTAATGACTTATCCAAATCGTTAATTGTATATAAATGTCTTTCATTATTGATAATAATGACTACATTGATGCTTTGTTCACTAATACGAAAGACAAAAAGTCAGAATCATAGTTTTATCATTAAAATAAGTATATTCACAATTTTAGTTTCTTATTGATCACATATAGTATGACCAACAGGAAAAATTTGTGGTATATATTCTAGTATATATGTGTATGAAAGCTTCATATATCTGAAATTGAAATTACTAGCGTGAAATTTCAGGAATATATGGCTTCAAGCGCTTGAAGTACTGTAACAACTTTCAAGCACTATATATATTGCAATCAAATTTAACAAATAAAATAATAGAATAATTTTTAAAACACTTACCTAATTGAAAAATTTTAACATAAAAAGAAGATTAAATGATGTTTCATCAAAAATTTCTAAACCTTTATTTTAAAATAAGTCTATACATACTCGCCAGAAAACTTTTTAAGTCGTTTCAATACTTCATCTACTTCTGGACGATTATCCGGATTAGAGGACCAGCACTCTTCATAAAGAAAAACGTAGTCCTGAGGAGTATTAGTAATAGCATTCTCTCTCTCATTGTTTATAAGTTTTTCCATTATAGCAAAGTCATTATTATCTTTAAACGGTGGAACTCCACTTGTGAGTTCCCAAAGCAATACACCTAGGCTGTAAATGTCCGATCTTTTATCACCATTTGCAGACCAGTCTTTAAGACGTTGAGGATCAATGTAGGGGAGTATTCCGTTTAGGGCTGAACTTGAGTTGGCAGAATCACTTAATTGCTTAGATATTCCAAAATCTGCAATTAAGGCTTTACCATCGTTTATTAAAATGTTCATAGAATGCTAGAAATATTTATAATCAATTGACATTTTTAATTCCAAATTTGTATAAAAATTGAAATATTTAAAAAATTAAAGCTTACTAGATCTCTATGAATGATATTACTTTTATGTAAATGTGCTAATCCATTAGTAATATCTAATGCTATTTTAATGAGCTCAGTCCACTTAAATTCATAAATGCCATTTTTCCACTTTCTTGATAAATAGTTTCGCATATTTCCTTCGTTGGCAAACTGTAACACTAACATAAAACCACCCGACCGAGGATCTGATATTATTAAATTATATTAGATCAAGCTTTTATTATTTAAATTTTGAAGATAATTTTATACTTTGAAGATAATTTTTATCATACCTACTGAAATTCCATAGAATTTAATAATGTTGGGGTGATCATCTTTATTAAGTTTATTAAGAAGTATAATCTATATTTTGAAATTTGAATAGATTAATTTAGATATCGAGTATATTGGTATTAGCTTATTGTAATACATTACTTCAGCAGCGATTTTTTTAATAATTTTATCATTAATAATCAGGTTCAATGTTGGATTTTTTAACGCATATTTCGTTCCTTGAAAAATGGATGAGTATACAATTGAAAATCCACCAAGCCCAATTATTTTAGGCTCTTTAAATTGTGAAAATTCAATTCTTTCAATGTCTTCATCCAATAAATATGTTTCTAGCTTTTCTGAATGTTTATACACTAAAATTTATAAAATTATAAACAATCATATATTAAAACTATTAATAGAAAAAATTGAAAATTATTAGTTTCCGATGGAAGTGATATCTACTTAATGCATTAATTATAGTGCTTTTAAAATTATTATGATATTCATCATGAAGAAATCTAAAATTTTGATGAACTTAAATAACATGTCTAAAAATAAAAATTTCAAGATTCCCTATCCTATTTCATTCTGCAGTATTGCCTCTGGTAGTACATTAGAACCGGTAGAGTTTGGCTAAATAATATCAAATTTCCAGTTTTTTTTTTGTATTTGATGTTTGTCAAACTAACTACCAGTTCTAGTGAACGACTAGGGAAATACTGGAGAATCGAAATATATTGAGGAATCTTGAAGATTCTTATTTCTAAACATGTTAATTAGATTTATTTATAAAAAATGCAAAATTTTCGGATTATTTTCAGATTTCTTTCGTAGTGGATGATAATCAAGTCAAAGTAACTTGACAAGCACAATAAATAGAATATATTCAAATCAAAAAATTATTGGTTCTCGATAAAAAGTAATAAACATAAGTTTTAACTAAGTGAATCATTCTTTGTGCATTAATTAAATCTTTAATCGGAGATTTTATCAATACTATAGCCTACATATTTCTCCTGAATATTGAATATTTTCGGTCGGCACGTCATCTACATTATGTTCATCCATAAGCTTTTGAACCATATCAATATGTTGCATTCGCTATTGAGTCAGCTTTCAGGTTGATCTATTTTTAATAAATACGTAACATTTGTTACACGAATGACAAATCAACAAAATTATTGTTGTACCCTACCCTCAATCTTTTTTTTTTAATAGTTGATTGGTGTAAATTGAATAGGGCATTCCGATAAATTAATAAACAAATTATTTCCTCTAATAGAATAAGGATCGCTGCGTTTATTTCATTACATAATTGGGCTGGAGCGGAGGGAAACGGAGTGTAAGTCCTTTCTATGGTCTACTAATTTGGGTCGATGTCCGGCTC